TTTCTTTCGTAAGATATTGAACATGCTAAGTTTGTTATTGAATCTAGTACAGTATGATGTAATGGTAACTACTGATATAAGATGATACTGAAAAGTATGTTTTTCTTTCGTAAGATATTGAACATGCTAAGTTTGTTATTGAATCTAGTACAGTATGATGTAATGGTAACTACTGATATAAGATGATAAGTGAATAAGTAAAAAGTTTAATTAAAATTTAACAAAATTATTAAAATATTTATGCCAACAATATTCAACTGTATGAGATCAAATATTGTGTTGTGATGCAGCTACTACTAATGCTAAATTTACTCAACACATTGTTTTATTTATTAGCTTAGTATTAAACCTCATGGAAGGTTTAGAAAGTTTGAAAGCTAAAATACTTTGATCTCAATTAGTGTGTGATAATTTGGCCAAAGGTATTCTTATGCATATTACTTTTTTTATAAATTATTTGGAAATGGTTTCTTATTGAAAGTCATTGTTTTACTACAAGGACTTTCATAATATTTTTTAAAGTTAAAATATTATATATGATGGTGAATATTAGTAAGATGTATACATCAAAATTTTTCTGAAAAATGCATTATCAACCCCTCCTCATCTCAAACACACTCAATCCCCTTCATGTCTGAAACATAACCAAACCCTTATCATCTGAAATATAGTTAACCTTTCTTGCTAGAAATATAATCCATGTCACCCAATATGTCCAACTTCCTTAATTTTTTACAACTTTTTTCATTCTTCTTACTTTTCTCTAATTTTTATACAAAATTCCTATTTCTTTTCCTACTTTTAAATTACATATTTAGTTTAGCTCAACTTGAAGTACGAAACTTGCATAAAAGACACATAGTCATATTGTGATTATAGTCAAACTGCCACCATTATTAACATAAGATAGTGAAGTGTTTTGGAATCTGGTAGTTTATACAAGTTACATTCTCTTGGTGGTATCAAAGGTAAATAGTTTTTTGTTTTTTTTAGCAAAATGAGCAAATTGTTTTCTCTGCTTCCTTGTAAGTGATGTTAGAGTGAACATAACCTCCATCTAAGTGAAGAACAAGTGAGGTATGATCAAGGGTTTTGTTAGCTTGATACATTTTGAGTTTTCAAGTTGAAGTGTGTGCACCAGCTTTTGTTAAATTGTGCTTCTTGTCATGGTTTCTGTTTAAATAAGCTTTAGCTGCACATTGTTTGATTTTCATGTGTGAGAGTGTGCATGTCTCTGTCAGTCATGTCCTGAAATAACTAGATTCTGATAGTTTTAATACACATTATTAATCTTCTGCTAATTTAACATACATGCACTTGGTGTTGTGTTACTTGTGAAGTTTATGTCTCCATGGTAATGGTTCTCAAGACCAACCACTATAACAAGTTTTATATTTCAGGGTAATTTAGAAAACTGAAATTCCACACAGAAAAACATGATTCCAGCACCAATGGTTAACTTGCGTGGACAATAATGGCCATGAACTTTTATATGTGTATCAACCTTTGCCAAAGGACCAGCAAATAGCTTGTGATAATAGTAGCAAAGAGCAACTCTTGAAACTTGTACACGGAGATAAACATAAAGAGCCGCCTAAAGTGGAGATTAGTTCTAATCAGCAAAAATAGTTCTACAAATCAGATTACGTATATGTATTTCAGTGCATTTATTAAGGTGTTAATGACTATGACAAAGCAGGTAATTTCATAAAAATATGCTGATAACGCCTGTATGAAAACTAAATTATCTTTACCTTTCCCTATTAAAGGCCCTACTTTTTGAGAACTTTGCCATATTAAAGTTCATACTTCTTCTGGGTGGGGTCATGTTGGAATGCCTGATAACTAACTCCTTTTCATCTGAAACATAACAAATCCAGTATATATTGAGCAAAACTCATTATCGACATTGGGTATGACAAATATTGTGTGGTTGGAATACTTTCATTTTAGGAATGATCTGGTAGTTAGGGCACTCAACTCGCAATCAGTGGGTCATGGGTTCAAATCTCCATCACCAAATATGCTTGACCTTTCAGCCATGGGAGCATTATAATATGACAGTCAATCCCACTATTTGTTGGTGAGTAGCCCAAGAGTTGGCAGTGGGTGTTGACTAGCTGCTAAATTAGGGACAGATAACACAGATAGCTCTTGTCTAGCTTTGCACAAAATTCAAAACAAACCAAACCCATTATTTCGTGAAATATAACCAACCCATTTTCATCTGAAATGTGATCAGTCGTACTTTTGACATAAACATTCTCTCATGATATTCCAAAGCACACAGGATCAACAGAAAAAAGCTAGCATCAGAAAAAAAAAAAAACAGTTACCCGAGTAATTTACTATCTTTTGTTTACCATTGTATTATGGTAAATTGTTTGTTATATTTCTAAAAGTTCAAGAACAAAGAGCAGCTCAATAGTTCAAGATATTTATATTAATTGGCTATTTAGTGGATCTGTCCTGTAATTCTGCTAGCAGTTATTCCTTTTTTTTTAGTTATAAGATATTGATTTGTATTTCATTACATTATTTATTGTTTATTTAAATATAGTTCCTGATTTCAAGAAAGCAGCATTATTTTTTCAATTATTCAGCAATTGGTAATTAAAGTGAAGAACATTGATATATTTTTGTTTTAGAAGTTGTATAAATAATAAAGATAATAATGAATTAACTTATAAAACTACACAAATGTGATTAAGAATCTATAAGGAGAGCAAAAATGCAACTCTAGAATCCTGTTTCGATACTGGTGGTGGGCAGAGCACAGATAGCACATTGTGTAGCTTTGTGCTTAATTACAAACAAACAACATTTTATAAACCAATACAAAGATGTATTAAACAGTCGATAAGGAGAAAAAGTTATATGAAAACATTATATAACGATCACAAAATTATCAATTTTTAAAAAGTTATAAACAATTTATAAGGATAACAAAGATGTACTAAACATTGTAAAAAGTAGAGATATGTATTAATTTGAGAATAATAAAGAGGTACTGAACAATCTAAAAAATATGAGGATGTATTAACATTTCTCTAAATATAAAACATACTAAATACTCCAGAAAATAATGAAAAAATATGTATGAAGTAAAAACAGAAATTACTAGAGAATTGCAAAGGAAACATAATCATGCAACAAAAGTTCAAGATGAATAACAAGTGTTTAACACTTCAGACCACTATCAAAACTTAAAGTTAAAAGGATTTGTGGTTTTTTTAGTTGTCAAAAACAAAATTGTGAACTCTGTAGTTTCATTCAGTGACTATGCTAAATTAAGGATATTGATATTCTGCTAGTTAAAACTGCTATAATTTCACTGCTTATTAAAATTTATATAATTATCCTGCATGTTAAAATTCTTATAATTACCCTGCTTATAAAATTGCTATAATTATCCTTGTTAAAATTACTATAATTTCATACTTGTTAAAATTACCTATAATTTCATACTTGTTAAATTTTTTATAATTATCCTGATTGTTAAATTTCTTATAATCATTCTACTCATGAAAATGGCTGTAATTATCCTGCTCATTGAAGTTGTTATAATTACCCTGCTTGTTAAAATTGCTATAATTATCCTGCTTATAAAATTGCTATAATTTCATACTTGTTAAAATTACTATAATTTCATACTTGTTAAATTTTTTATAATTATCCTGATTGTTAAATTTCTTATAATCATTCTACTCATGAAAATGGCTGTAATTATCCTGCTCATTGAAGTTGCTGTAATTATCCTGCTCATTAAAATTCTTATAATTACCCTGCTTGTTAAAATTGCTATAATTATCCTGCTTATAAAATTGCTATAATTTCATACTTGTTAAAATTACTATAATTTCATACTTGTTAAATTTTTTATAATTATC